CCGTCTAGGATCTTTATTTTATCAGTTTTGTGTGTAAGTGACCTCATTGTCTCAAAAAATAATCCATTCTTTTTAAAAATAAAATGAAATAATTATTTCTGCTTATTATCATGAATTTTAGGCGCGATAAATTTTATGCGCACGTGACCTCATTATCTTGAAAAATAATCTTTTTAATAAAAATTGTGATATTTTATCTATGTTAGAAATTTTGAATGCTGTAAATTAGAAAAATAAATTTATTTATTTTTCTTGTCTATTGTTAGAAAAAATTGTGATAATTCTGCTTTTAGTAAAATTGTGATATTTCTTTCTACTGTTTTGAATATTTAGACATTGAAAAATTCATGTGCAAATGACTGCCGTATTATTTAAAAATTGACATTTTTACAATTGATTATAGTATTGTTGTAAAATGTTTATTTGTGAATTGATATTCCATAAATTGTGATAATTCCGTATTCTTGAATTTTTATAAGAGTTTTTCTATACATATTAAATTGGCAATTATGCTAGAATGCCTTTACAAACTGCTACCTTTCTAAATTTGAGCCCAAAATATTTGATTGGTTATTTTTGAAATATTATAGAGAGTGACTGTTATTAATGGTTTAAGTGAAATTCATATTAATGGTTTCAGTGATACGTTGAGTACATGATATTGCTGCTTTCGAATGTTTAAAGAGATTTAGAAATAATTTAAGTATGCAAGTGGACTTATCCGGTTCGCCGGTGAGGTATAAGTGGACCTATCTGGGACGCCGGTAGGGATTAAGTGGACTCATCCGGTACGCCGGTGAGGTATAAGTGGACCTGCAGGGATTAAGTGGACCTATCTAGGACGCCGATAGGAATTAAGTGGACCTATCAGGACGCTGATGGGGTATATAGGTGACCTACTTGGGACGCCAGTAGGGTATTTTGTGAAATCCTTTAAATTTTGTCCGCCGTTAAAAGTGTTATAAGCATTTCAATTACTCGGATTATACTTAAATTATGCATTTATTGAAAGTAAAACTGTTGATGCATTTCTGTTAATAGATCTCATTTTGAAAAATATTGATATCTTTCAACCATGATTATTTTTAGGATTATGATGATCACTTACTGAGTAGCCAAACTCATCAAACTATGGTAAACATTTTTCAGGATGACTGCGGTTTCATTTGTGTCCTCGTCAAGATCAACTTTGGGAAGATATTGTAGTTTTGCTTAAACTTTCTTTATTTACTATGTAAGACCTCGCCACTGTAAATTTGTCCTATCAATAGATGTATATATGTTGTGTCTGTCACATCTCAGGAATAACAGTACTGTAAATTCTTGGGGTGTGACAATACCCAAGTTAATACTGTCCAAAATAATTTTCCTATGGTCTGTAGGAAGAGATTTGTATAATTAATCTACTTTATTATGTGGGGTATGACTTCAATTTTAGCCATCTGGTTCTCAGAATCTTTTGGTCAAAATTTGAAAGGTAAGGTTTTATTTCTTGTTTTTCTCCTTTCAAGTGTAAGCTAATTTCAGCAGGATGAATAACTTTAATGCTTTCTACTTTAACTGTGTGAAAGGTTTGAAAAATAATTAGACTGTGGTGTAAAAGAAGTTGAACTTCTAGGAAGAATTCTAGAAGGAATTTTCGGAACCATATTCGAAAAGACAATATTTGAAATACTTATCCTTGTTCTTCTGGAGGATGAAAATTTGATTTCTATTTTTCCATTAGGATATTCTACAGTTTGTTCTGACTCGGTATTTTTAGGAGTTGGTAAACGGGTCTCTAATTGCAAAAATCAATTTTCAGGTAAATTTACATGTTTACAAGATATAGATTTTGGTAAAACCAAATTGGATTTTTCCATGTTAGTTTGGAAAAATATTGTTTGTCCTTTTTTATCCATTTGTCTTGCATTAGGATAAAGAGTATTCATAACTTTATAACAAATTCTATAAACAAAGGCCAAATTCATTGAGCTTAATATATGGGTTGAAGAGGTTACATCCTCTAAAATTGGGGGTAGAATATCAATTGGCATAACTATGTAGAACCCGATTAGAGAGGGGCACATGTCCTAGAGTTCAAAATCAATTATTTTAATATTTAAAACATATATTTTAGGAAATGTATACAATGAGACAGTTTACCTTTGGTATTAGGTGATCACAATTGATCTTGACCATTGGATGTCAAATTAGATGGCTGCATTTATTCTATTGACTAAGCTCAAACTTCAAAGAAATTTTCTCGAATTTTGTGACACACCTAATCTATCAAATTTCACATCGAATGGTTGTGAGTAATTGTGACCTCCTTGTCTCAAAGGTAAATGATCTCATTGTATACAATCCCTATATTTTAAGTGAGATCTAGGATCCATATCAAAACCTTGGGTTTTAAGGTTAAGAGTCAAAACTTTTAATAAGTTTGGATCAGATAAGGATACAGAGAAATTTGGAAAATAGTTAAAGTATATAGGTCCATTGCAGACACTTGATTCAACAATTCCTAGAAGAGAGTCATTGAACCTTCTATGCCTACTATCTCTTAAACAAAGTAAAACCGAATTATTTAAACCAGTTCTGTAAAACCGAATTATTTGAACGAGTTCTGGTTAACAGTTTTACAGCTATTTATACAAGACCAATATGGAGATAGTTAAAACCCCTCTTAATATGATCTTTAATCATTCTCGTAGATAGGAGTTAAAAGCTATCTTGGTTTTTCATAACAGAAAGAGTCTCTTCAATGGTTTTTATTGAAAAACTACTCTTAAATTCAAAAGTTCATTTTTTGTATATATCATTAGTAGGGACCTTCGGAATATTCCAGTTTTGTAATTGTTTTTCTATATTATCTATTATAATTTCCTCCCTATTATATACCCTTAAATTATTACTTTTGGTATCAAAGCCAGTTATATTCAGTGGTGAACGGAACCTATTTACACATTTTAATCTGGTCAAAATCCCTACAAGTCACTGTGACCCAAAGACCACCGTTAGCCAGGAAGGCTGAAAGGTGCAAGGACTGTTTCCAGTTGACTCAGGGAAAACCCCAAGATTAAAATGAAAAATCTATTTAGAACATTGTCGAATAGAACCACCTCTTAGGAAAAGGCTTCTGTGAGCTATTGGGCTCACAAGAAAAAAAGAGCCCAATGGCCCAGATTGAATCTGGGCCGATCTAATGATCACGTATGCTCGATAGTGTTTGAATTTTAATTTTTTTCTACAAATTCAAATCACTTGAAGTTTTATACGTGTATTGATAAAAAATAGGTGAATTTTTGAAAAATATTAAAAAAATATTTTACATGAAAAACAATAACCCAAATACCCCTATAAATTTTTGGGGGTATTTTGATCACTTTTAATTTTGTGGATTATTTTTTTTATATTTTTATTAAGTAAGGTTTAATGAGAAGAATATTCACCTAAAATTTCAAATGATTTGGATTTGTAGAAAAAAAATTAAAATTCAAACACTCTCGACCGTCAGGCCGACCCATATTCAATCTGGGCCATTGGGTTTATACTATTATGTGAGCTAGTGGGCTCCCCCTAGCATCTTCCATATATATATTTAGGAAAAAGTTTGGGTGAGCCCACTAGTTAGTATATGCCCAACGGCCCAGATTGAATTTGGGTCGATCTGACGAATACAGATGTCTGGTAGTGTTTGAATTTTAATTTTTTTTTTACAAATCAAAATCACTTGAAATTTTAGGCTTATGTTCTTTTCATCAAGCCCAACCTAATAAAAATATAAAAAAAAAGGTTCCTAAAAACAAATTGACCAGCATATCCCCGAAACTTTTCAACGGTATTTTTATCAATTTATTTAATGTAAAATATTTTTTTGATATTTTTCAAAAATTCAACTATTTTTGTTGTACATACACTTCAAATTTCAAGTGATTTGGATTTGTAGAAAAAAAAAAAAATTCAAAAACTATCAGACATCCGTTATCGTCAGATCGGCCCAGATTCAATCTAAACTGCTGGGCTCATTTTTTCCGGTGACCCAGTGGACTCATTTTTTTTTTTTTTAGATGTAGGGTTTTTTTGTAGATCAGGATTTTATGAGGATCAATTCGACTTCAAATGTGGGCATTTTCATTTTTTTTTTCCACAAAGAAAACCTAAGATTTATAGCGGACCTCGCAATTCTCCATACCGAAGTCCTAAATCCAAAATTCTGGTCAAAAGGATCAAATTAACAACAATATAATGAAAGTTATTCGTTGGAAATGCCAAAAGGGATAAATTTTCAGAACGTAATAATCCCCAAAAAATTTCAAAAGCCCTAACCCCAAATACCAACTTCGCCAAAACAAGAGAGCTTAACACAAATAGATCTAAACCCCAAAAAGGAAGAATAAGAGATATTACAATTTGTATGATTAATATTTGCATAACAAACATAAATCACGCATTGATCATATCTAATGATAAAGACAAAATCCAGGGAAACTCGAAACAGTAACCCTAAAAATCCAAAGACCAACAAAGAAAGGAAAAATTACTATTAGTTGAGAGAGGAGAACAAGATATGAACAATGTTTTTTAGATCCGATGGAAGAGCGAAAAAATCTTGAAAGAATTTACAGAGAGTCAAAACAACTCGATATAAGGGAACTGACTGGGTGAGCAACAAACTCGACTTGAAAATCGGCGGCAGCGCTTCAGGGATGAGAAATGGACACGCTATAACATCATGTGAAGAGTCTTAGGGTTCTCTGAAAAAACTTAATGCCTATTAATCATATAAATATACAGACTTATCTTTTATAGACAAAGTACCTATGACAATAATAAAAATATATCATATATTATACTCAGATTTACCATAAATATAACGATATTATATCTACCATTTTCAAATATACATATTACAATATGTGTTGGCCGGGTCCATTGCCACCCCTCCCAATAAAGTAAAAATACCGAACACCTTTATTTCAACAAATTTCATGAATCATCTCTTTTTATTACAATAATGCATCATATGCATGTGCACCTCTTTATCAAAATTTCATCAAACCTTTGACACTCTTCCACCATTCTCTCCGTTCTATTTAGGTAAGAAGCTCATTTTGGAGCCATTATTTCGGCCTGGTGGTTGTTGCAGAGTCATCTCTCTTAAAACCATAGCAGACTGATACTTTTTAGAGAGAGAAAGCAGCGGGAACGGTGTACAGTATGGCAGCTAGTGTGCCATCTCGGATGCTTTACATCGATGGGCAATGGAAGGAGCCTGTTAAGAGGAAGCGGTTGCCCGTCATCAACCCTGCAACTGAAGAAATCATAGGTTTGTTCTTCTTTCTTCAGATAGCACGAACTTAAGGTTCAGTGGCCATGCTTTTACTTGATTTTAGCTTCATGATGTTATGTTATGGTTCCTCTGAGTCAGCTTGGAATTTCCTTAAATGGGTAATTGTAGATTCAGAAAATGTTGGTCTCCAACTTTCTTTCATAGAATTTCACTTTTGATCTTTCACTTTCTCCCTGAATTCATAAAATTGTGATCTGTGGTGGGTTTTCTTTTTTTGATTTTGGAGTCTTTTTGTCCTCTCTATAATTTTTAAGTTCTTTGTAATTGTTCTCGAACTATCTGTGAAAAATCATAACAGAAAATGTTGTTACATGTAGAGCTGCGACACTTGTACATCAAGTGTATAGGAATTTCATGCATAATTGACCTCGAATCAAGATGTAAAATAGGCTTTAGTTTCTTTCCTTTTTTATTTTGCATAAATCCATTGCATTTACCAGAGTTACGGAGCTTATCTATGGGGGAAGAGTGCATATGTGGTCAAACAAGTGCTTCTGAAATGGGTCTCTGTTTTGAATCGGTAATTTAAACTTGCTTTATAAAATATGTATCTGTCAATAAGAATTTATTTATATAATTTGATTACACTTGAAGCATGGATTTACTGGACAATAGTAAATTTCACCTTTATGATGTATGGGGTCCTTGCGAACCCCTAGCTTGCAAAAATAGGAAATCCAATGACCGGGATCCCACCCAAGATCATGTACATAGTTAGCTAAATGTACAATAAATGCATACAACCACAAAATGAGTGCAAGGAAAAAAGCAAGACGAAAAGCACAATAACACAAATATTTACGTGGTTTAATCTCTAGGGCAATATCCATGGCCTCCGCAAGTAGAAATCCCCTATCATAATGAAAATACAATTTTTGGTTACATGAAATATACATTTGTCTAAATATCAGCAAAGAACCTCACTGATCTTAACTTCTAAACCTGCTCTCACTGAGCAACACCAATAATCAAGTTAGTATAGAAAGATAACTTGAGAGCAACAGAGATACTTTCTCTTTCTAGAAGTAGAAATTTAATCAACCTAAAACCCTATGGGAATACCATCTCTCTTTGGGAGGTCATGTGTCTCTCTTGGGGACCCATCTCTCTCTCTCACTCTTGGAGATCCCTTCTCATGACCCAAAGGGTGAGCATTATGTCTCTCTTGTGTCCCTTATAGGGAGATCACTAGGGTTTCTTTCTTGCTCCCTAATAGAGCCCCTTTTCTTCTTTTTACCATAATAGAAAAACATCGGTGTGGTGATTTTCATTCTCACCAAACCAAACAATTCTCCAACTTGATACACCTTATGTTTTGATACCAATTGTAGGGTACTCAAGAACTTCTAACTTGCGGAACCAGGAATCCCAAATACTGGGATCCCACTCAAGATCGTGTACATAATTGGCTAATACGAAATAAATGAATACAACCACGAATTGGGTGTAAAGAAAAACCTAAAGCACCCCAAAATAACATAAATATTTAGGTGGTTCACCTTGTAAGGCTATGTCAACGGCTTTAGAAAGTACAAATCCACTATCACAATGAAGATTATAGTTTTGGTTTACAAGAGATATACTTCTTTCTGAACATTAGCAAAAAAATCTCATTGATCTTCCCTTCTAAACCCACTTTCCAGATATAACAACATCGTCAATCAACCTCATCTTTCCCTCTACTGCACCGCTGCAAGAAAGATAACCTTGAAAGCAAATGAGATACTCTAGAAGTGGAAATTTAACGAACCCAAAACCCCATGGGATAGAACCTCACACTTGGAGGTTATGTCTCTCTCTTGGAGATCCCCTTCCATGACTCCAAATGGGTGACCCAAAAGGGATGCGATTATGTCTTCCTTGACTCCCTTATATGGAGTTCACTACGGTTTCTTTCTTGCAACCCAAGTAGGTCGGTTTTTTACCATAAGACCCTTAATCTTTTGAGGAAAACATAAGTGTGGTTATTTTGACTATCACCAAACCTAACAAGATGCTTTTAATATGTAAGTGGAAGCTCTATTTGATTTGGGTTTTACTTACTAGAGTTATTTGGGAGATTTTGCTTCTATCTGAGACCTGCATAATGATTAGACTTCTTCCTCTAAATACTTACTTGGTGATTGATTGGGTAACTTCTTGGCTTGTGTTTATCACCAGGAGATATTCCTGCTGCTACTGCTGAGGATGTTGAACTTGCTGTTGCTGCTGCTCGTAGGGCTTTCACAAGAGATAAGGGGGCTGGTTGGGCCCGTGCATCTGGGGCATTTCGTGCTAAGTATCTGCGTGCTATAGCTTCAAAGGTGCCTTTTTTTTCATGGGATATGCCAAGATTCATGTCTTTAAAACTTCTAATTTAATTGGAATGTACAGTCGTACCATTTATGCTAGCTTCTTCCTAGATTTTATTGACTAGGTTGAAGCTTTGCATGGTGAATATTTTGTTGAGAATGGATGGTTGGGGCATCTATTTGATTGCTAGATTTCCGGGGGTATACATATGCACTAGAGAGGATTCTAGATGATTGACTCGTTTGTACTTTAGTTTGGTTTTATGGTTTCTACTTTCTCTTTTTATTGATGGGATTGATACCGGGCTGGACAATCTACTTCGATTTGGTTTCTTGTTAAGATTGAAGTGGATCCGTGTATTTCTTTAGGGATGTGGGATTGAACTCATACAATAACTATGGGATCTAATCATCATAAGGTTAGGTTGTCTATTTGATCAAATAGGATCATGGGAATAACTTAGAGATAATGCGGTGTCTTAGATAGTGGCTATCCTCTTACTATGGAAATGTAGTTTCCATCTGCTCTCCCCATATTCCCGGGTGATTAGGTTAGCAGGGTTATGCATGTAGCCACCTATGTGACATCTCCCCATCACCTTTAGATAAAGAGATATGTGATTCCAAATGAGACTACTTGTTTCTTTTTTAAATAACTGGACTACTTGGTGTTGGCATTGCATTTGCCATATATCTTTTTAAATAGTACCACTATTTTAATTCACAAGCTATATATTTCCCAATTAAGCTTGGTAGACTTGAACCATAGTTGTTGGAGATGGGAGCGGGATCGATTCGGGATTCGCCGAACCTCCCTATAGTGGAAGCTTCTTGGGGTTTAGATCGGCGCCGGTACAATGAACATGATAAGGAGCAAGATCCTTAGGTTTATGGGAGCGAGATCCGATGTCAATGGGTTCGATGTTTTGATTAGCAGGAATCTAAGCTCTACTATTAAAAAAATGAGGTTGTAAGTAGAGCTAGTACGAGTTCCCTTGGTCAACCAATTGAGGTTTAAGTATGTCATATAACATGGTTCCTCCTGTTGTAATATTGAGATTCTTAAAGTATAGGAATCAAGATCTTCAAATTTATTGGCCCCAAGGTCCGCAAGTGCCATTAATCAGGGATCCCTTATCAAGTGCCCCCCTCCCACAATGGATTTATTTATTTTTGTGTGAATAACAACGGTCAACGAATTAATTATATAGCTCTATACGTTGGTTTTTCTTATGACCACTACATCTTCAGGCCATGACACAAGTTTGGCATGCACCATTCCCTCTGAGTCCACGGCAACCCAGAATCCTACCACTCAAGTTCTTTGAATATGGTTTCCTCTGCTTCCATTGTTTCTCTAGCTCTCCGAAGGGGCAAGAGGACAAGATGAACTTCTCTCTCTCTCTCTCTCTGACTGATGTAAGGAAGCTTTTTAAAGCTTGAAATGACAGCATATATTCTCATCTCACTACAATAATCAAACACTAGGGCATCATAAATATAATATTTTAAATGAAATATATATTCTCACAACTAAGAGGGATGGTGTACACAATAGGATTTAATAAAACAATGAGTCACTCTAGACTATGCCTAGTTCAAATTAAGAATCCAAAATAATGGAACTTCATGCTATGTGCAAAAGGGACTGGATTTTAACATCATGGAACTTATGATTCCTAAATAATGGGAACTTCAGACAATGGCAATCTCTAACCTGATATTATCTGTTAATGAAAGTAGAACCCACAAACATGGAACCCAAGATTTTAATGTTCCAAAACCTTGGGCCGTGGTTGATGGGAGTTGGGATCTATTTCGAAATGGAACTGGATTCCATTGATGGATGGAACATGGCCCCCCTTTTTTTGGGAGCGAGATCCCAAAATTGAAAAAAGGGATCCCTACTCCCTTGCAGGAACTGTAGGATCGAGGTTTCAGAGCGGGATCGTCACCCTACCCATACGGCTCCCTTAACTATGACTTGAACAAATGGCTTCCCTAAGAAAGAGAAAAAAAAAGAAGAAGAAAGTAACTAACTAGATAGATGCTCTAGGTGACTAGGACATCTTCCATTTAGGCTCTATGGTCTTCTGGGCTCTTTGCTTCCTTCTACTAGGTAGATCTCGTAGGAGGCAAGCAGGGGGGGAAATATTGGATGAGGAGTGACCTGCTGCTGTTAGAAGACGTATTCCTTGTCATTGTAAATTTGTACTGTACTTAACGAGTGTTTTTCTTTATATGTACTCTAAATGGCAGTTTGTACATGTTGTGATATCAGTTTTCTTTTCTTTTATATGCTTAGCAAGCAAATACTTGTTTTATTTTGATAACTACCCAATTTAATGGATGAGTCATTTTATTTCTTAAAATTTCATGTCATTAAGCAATTCAACAGGGATCCTTGCAGCAACTATCATCCTCGCTTTTGAGAAAATGTCCATTACTAGCGTGATATAATTTCGTCATCACATATATTACTTCTGTAAGATAAAAAAGGCAGCAAATAGGTTTTTTCCTCTTGACCCTAGTAGCTATCTCTCTTGTGCTCATTAAAGAAGAGTTATATTCCTAAAGAGCATGTACTTAAATTACCAATGCTCCTCCAACAATTTGTGCCAATCTTCCAATGTTTTGAATAACCAGTTTGTTCTTGTTGCAAAATGTGTATGTTGACCTGGGCACATAATCAAGTGAATTGTTTTAGGAATGGAAATCTTCTACAGATCGATATCAACATTGAAGGTTGTGAGCCTTAAAAAAAAAAAAATTGAAGGTAGAAGCATAACGATCACCAAAACAAAAAAATTGAAGGTAGTGTTCATGCATGGATGGTGATTGATGTTATGGTTGGTTCAGGAACTAGAGGGATTCATCTTTTCTTTATTATGTGAAAAGTTGATTGCACATGGTAATTTAATTTGTGTTTTGAACACCACAAAAATAGGAAGCATTAGAATTTGTTGCTTGTTATTAATTGGGATTATAGGTGTTTCATTTTCTTTATTTGGGAATATTACTACCTGACAGAAGAGGAGTGTAACACAATAGAAAAGTGAATACAAAGTACGATATCCAAACTCTATTGTTAAAGTATTGCAGCTTTTCTTTTTGGTAGATCGGTGGGGAAAGGGTCCCCTACCCATGTTAGGAATGGAAATCAAGACGTTGTGTTGTGGAACTGTCTTGAGTCCCTTCCTAATTGCAGCTAAATTTTTTATGATGCTCATTCTCCCTTACACAAACAATTATTAGTACGAACCCCTGCCATACCTTGGTGAACTACAACATATTTTGGTTTTATTTCATGTTTTGATAACATTGTAACCACATTATGAAGAAATTTGTGCATCTCTTGTTACAGGTGAAGGACCGTAAAACTGAACTGGCAAAGTTGGAAGCTCTTGATTGTGGGAAGCCACTGGAAGAAGCGGCCTGGGACATTGTATGCTTCTGAGATTTTGGAGGTTCATCCAGGAATCGATGTTTGAATCTTGAATCTAAACAGTTACCTTATGTGCTGCCTTTTATTTTATTCCAGGATGATGTTGCTGGATGTTTTGAATATTACGCTGATCTTGGAGAAGCTTTGGATAGACAACAAAGGGCTCCAGTATCTCTTCCAATGGAGAATTTCAAGTGTCACATTCTTAAAGAACCTATTGGTGTTGTTGGCCTAATTACTCCATGGTAAATTAAAAGTTATATGAAATCTTCCTCCTTTGTTTAGTTTTTATTTTTTTTCTTTTCTTCTCTTTTTTCTTTTCTAACTGATGGTATTACTGAGTTCTTTTTGCATTGGTTTTCCTTTTTTTTTTCTGGTGAAATATGCATGGATGCATTTTGAGTGGTTTCTTTCCTAATTACCAATTTTAATAATCTAGAAGCCTTAAATAGAGATAGCTGGAAGCTTGTTGCTCCTAGTTCCTTGACTTTCTAAATGAACCTGTTGGGCAATGTATATTGCACATTGCACAAGCATGAAACTAGTAGTTTTTTTCAAATGTGTATGGATAGCTGTGCTTCTTATCCTTGATTTTGTTAAGTAGAACTTGTGTACTTATGAGGTAATTGCAGCAATCTGCTGTAAGAACTGTAAAGTAACCCATTTAAATGTCTTTTTGATTTTCTTTATTCTTATTTTTTTTTTATGTTCTTTTTGTCTTTGTTTTGTTTCGGATTGCAAGTTAGCAACACTTGAAAGAGATAAAAAAAGTATGTTTTTGGAATAAAATTCCTTGGTGCCTGGAGTTATCACATGGTTCTGGGGCTATGGTCATGGGGTTGATTGCCTCTCCAATAGTCAAGAGGAAAGTCGTTATTGGTAAGGTTTGTCACCCCTCAATTGGAGAGGTATGCAAGGCAGGAGAGTTTCCTTGCCTGAGGTCCACTCACGTGAACTTGGACCTTTGCCTATGAATCGAGGGTCTATGCTTCAACTGAGACTCCCTCATTTCTCAAGAACAATGTTGATGCATGTCAGACTTACAAAGTGACAGTGTGCATTTCCCTTTGCAAGTTATAGCCAAATACGTAACGATTCATGGATGATAAACACATATAGTCTAAAGCGTCTTTACAGTTGTTAAACAGAGATATTCTAAAGTGTCTGTTAAGTTGAACTAAAATAAATGTCCAAAGCAAACGTTCTAGGGAAAAGGAGAAATGAATAAAGAGTACTAGAATAAATTTCTGTGGTGGCAATGGTTATACCTTCTTTTTCTTGTTTGCTGTTGGTATCGGTAGGGATGCTTTTTGAAAGTAAGTGCCAAATTGGTTGTGGTTGTCTTGTTCTTTGGAAACTGTTTGCTTCAACTGTAGGGAAGGTAGCAGTTATATTTTCTGGAAAGATGAAGTTGCCGTTAATCTCTGTGGCTGTTGCAATATCCTGTTTTCTGCAAAATTGATTTATGGGGTTCCTTATGCGTCATGTACATCAAATTAGATTTTCTCCACTGTAGAAGTACCAAGTTTTTTATATGTTATATAGTTTATGGAGTTCTCAGAAAAGTAATCGAAATTCTTTATTTGTTCCAGGAATTATCCTCTCCTAATGGCCTCATGGAAGGTTGCTCCAGCCCTTGCAGCTGGGTGTACAGCCATCTTGAAGCCCTCGGAACTATCTTCTGTGTAAGTAATTTGATAAAATTATATTTTGTTGTTCAGGTTATTATAGTTTCTTTTTTTTCTGTAGTTTTTGTAATATAGTATACTAGGATTTTTCCTATTTCTATTTCCAGAACATGTTTGGAGTTGGCTGAAATATGCATGGAAGTAGGACTTCCTCCTGGTGTTCTAAACATACTTACTGGACTGGGTGCAGAAGCTGGTGCTCCGATGTCATCTCACCCTCATGTTGGCAAGGTTTCTATTATTATTTGTAGGATGATTTTCTTATAGGGAACAAACGTATTTAATTTTATTTTGTGTCATTATTATATGCTCCTATTAGATTATTGCATTTTTAACTCTTCCTCATGGCCTCTGCCAGATTGCTTTTACAGGAAGTTCCATGACGGGCAGAACAATCATGACTGCTGCAGCTCAATTGGTTAAGGTGACCATGGAGCATAATACTATCTATTTGTGCATTGTTGATTGTTCTTTATCAATGTTCATAGAATTAGAGGCAGCTTCTTTGGTCCCCAAATTTTCCTTTCATAAGTAGCGTTTGATATATGTGAACCATGTAATCTTTTTCAATCTGTTTTAACCCAAATAATATGAGTAGTGCATAACTTTGGAATAGGAGAGTCGTGAAAATTCAGCCAATTTACGTATATCCGCAATATCATCCCACTGGATATGGATCCAGAAGATAGTACACGTCCATTTCTCACTTGACAATGTATTTGAACTCAGATAATCTTTTTCTTTCCTGTATGGACCAATGTAGAAGAAATTGGCTGCCTGGGCCCTAGGTGGCCTAGGCTTCTAAGGCCATCGGTTAGGGCCAGGCCAGGGCATAGGGTGGAGGAGGCTCTAGGTTCCTGCCTAGGTGGGCAAGGCACCTCCTAGGAGCTTCCTAGGCGGGTGCTCAGAGTGGACGGGACTCTAGGCTCCTGCCTAGGTTGCCAAGGCATCAAGTAGATTGGCTCCTCGGCCCGCCTGAAGAAGAAGAAGAAGAAGAATGTTACTGCTTTGATGTGATTTGTAAACTACATAGGGGAAGGGGGTACTGCTTGATGTGATATGAAGCTAGAAAGGGGCTGAGAGTATGATGATTTGTCACAAGGGACAAAAGGGCAAGAGGGTACAATGATGTGTAACAAAAGGGCAAGGGAAATGGAGTAGGATGATGTGCCATGAGGGAGAAAAGGGAAGAGACTACATTGATGTGGCACAAAAGACAGGAAGAGTTTACAATGATGTGGCATACTCCCAGCTCCTCCTGATATTAGGTGTCTTAGGTACTGCCTAGGAGGCCAGGGATCTTAGCCACCTAGGCAACAATCTCCACGTTTTTGAGCACTGGTATGGACACTCCGTCTTCTTGTCAAAGTGGGTCTCATGTGGGAATCCTTTCTGAAGGAAACTGGAAGTGTACCTGGAAAAGAGTTAGTCCCTGCAGCGTCAGAAGTTTTGAAAATTAAACCACAATATTAAACCCATGTTTCAATTATGTGGAAGATACTTCTTTGCAAATTTATATAGCATGGACCCAGATGATCAAAAGATGACAAACTTTGTCATGAAAAACCTAAACATTTCCTTGGAAACACCTACCATTGTGATAAGACACTTTCCAAAATAAAACTATTTACATTCTTATAAACTTCCATTGATAGATCCCAAGATTGTCGTTTAAAGATGGTGATTTTTCCTGCTTTGGCATCATCAACTTTGTCATGAGAAACCAACCCAATATCTTCATTTGGAGTTCCAGATATTGAACTATGTCGTTGATCTCCTGGCAGCCTGAATTCTAACTATGAAACCTAACTTAGTGATAGATCCGACACTATTTGAAATTTGCATGGACAGCTCGAATGAATGAATAATTTTACTAGTGGTGATGCTTGGTCTATTAATACATCCAGGCAGGCCCTTGTATGGATACTCATTCTGTGCATATCCACACTGACATAGCAGTAATACGCATTACGATAGTATTCATGATTGCAAAATTGTATTCAGGATCAAGATATCTCCAATAAACATGTAATGCGGGTACTGTGTTGTTACACACGCAAAGACCATCTAATAGGCATGTCTGGATGCTCAAAGTTTCTCTATGTCTCTATTGTCTAAGTGACTGCTCACTCTTGGAAAGAACTGGGATGATTCTTTTTCTCATCTTTGGTTATATGTTTATGAGGTCTAATAGTTAACTCCCTATTTGTGTAATGTTCAATTGAACCTGAAAGCATCGCATGCGGTTTGCACTTTTTTGCTGCAATATCTGCTCCATACTCTTTTGTAACCAGACATTGAGAATGAGATTGGTGTGGATTCGTCCAAGCTTGAATTGATCCATTATCCTTTTATTCTTTCTATTGAACATAGGTCCAGTCAATTCTTATGATGTCGAGTGAATTTCCATATATATTTTTTCAGATGAATATATATTGTTGCATCCCCCATGTCATCTTATTATTGTATAGTGAAACCCACATTTTATTTGAAATTGAAAGTGAAACCCACATTTAACTATCCAAAAAAAGAAAAACAAGAAAAAAAGAAACCACATTTGCATGTCTTTGGTGTTCCTAGTGTCTGATTTCATAGTCACTTTTGCATGACAGCCTGTTTCTTTGGAACTTGGAGGAAAGAGCCCAATTATAGTATTCCAGGGTGTGGACATTGAGAAAGGTACTTTTCTGAAGATCTAGGTATTTTGATTTGCAGAAAGCTCCTTTTTTTTTTACCCCTATATATATAGAAATAAAGCTGCAAACTCATGCTTTATTTGACCTCCTCTTTTCTTCCCTCAGTTCTCATTTATAGTTGTAACAGTCAATGAAACCTACCTTCTTACTTCTAGTTATTGTAATTTTCTACAACTGATCCTTGATGATCTACAAATCTTTGAAAACAGAGATACCTTTTGAGAATTTATTTTGCAGTTCAATTTGCATTGTCCATATGTGTCTTATCCATAGAATATTCTTTATATTTGATGGGTATGAATTCTTGATTGTTCTCCTATGTTTATTGTTTGGTGTTCCTGTTGCGCTAAACAGCTGCTGAGTGGACAATGTTTGGTTGCTTTTGGACAAATGGTCAAATTTGCAGTGCAACTTCCCGTCTTCTTGTCCAGGTCTGTGACATCTATAATCATTATTTCAGTATAAATTCTAAGCATGTAAATAATTGAAAGTCAGACAAGTATCGGCAGTCTTACCCAACCTATTGGTAATTTTGCCCAAGCATGCTTAACTTCGAGGTTGAGATGACATATCCTTGGTACTTGCTTAACCTCACCCCTCTAAATATTTAACATATGAGTGTGGATTTAGACTTTAAGAAAGAACCTCCCTGGTATTTTCTCCCTGATAAAGTATT